CTCCTCAGTCCTCTCTCCTCTCTCCAACTCCCCATCCCCTCTCCTCTCTCCCTATCCTCACTCCTCTCTCCCTATCCCCTCTCCAATCTCCCTATCCTCTCTCTCTTCTCTCCACTATCCTCGCTCCTCATTCCTCTCTCCTCTCTCCCACTCCCTATCCCTGTCTCTGTCCTCTCTCTCTGATCTCTGGCTCTGTCCCTCTCTGTGGTCTGTGTGCAGGCTGGCTGGAGGGAGGCTGTGTGCTCCAGCCCAGATTCAATTACAAGGTTTCCTCTGTAATTACAAGGTGTGTCTCTGGCTCTGAATGGCAGAGTCTCACTGCTGCTGCAGTGCACACTGGAGTGTTGATGTCCTGACTGGCCTGTGCCACACTGTCTCAGCTTGGCCTGTGCTGACCCAGATCGGGCAGTCCAGTGGTGTACTGACTCGGCTTGGCCGGAGCTGACCCGGATCGAGCTGCTCTGTACCGTACCAACTCAGCATGGGCTGTGCTGGCCCGGATCGGGCAGTCCAGTGATGTACTGACATGGCTTGGCCTGTGCCGGCCCGGATCCGCCTGCCCTGTGCCATACTGACTTATTGGATTGTGGTGCCTAGCTCTGCACAGTCCTACAGCTTGGTAGGGTTTCTTCAAATACGTATGTGAAGCAACTGAGAACAGATTCCATCCATCCGTTTTCGAACCACTCAATCCAGATCAGGGTCTTGGGGGGAGCCGGAGCAAGCAGTCGGCACAAGGCACAGTACACCCTGGACAGACACACCCACACCAGGCCCCGTTTCCCCAGAAGCCAATCGATCTATGGGAGGAAGCAGCACCTGGAGGAGACCCGCGCGCTCACGGGGAGAACATGCAGAAATGTTTAAAAGAATTAGTGCAGAGGGTTGTGAAAAAGCCGCACTATCGTGCTGATACGTTTCTTCATCTCGTTGCAGCTCGAATCCCCCAGGAGCAGGGAGACGCCCCGCCCTCTTGCCCGGACCTTCTCCTTAGAGAGGAATCAGCGCTTCCGTCCGGCGGGGAGAGGAGCTGGCCTGGGGGGGGGTCCGGGCGGATCACGGATCACCAAACCCACCCGCGATCTCCCGGGAGCCATGGGCAGCCGGGAGATTAGAGGGCAGTAAACCGAGCCGCTAGACGACAGGCGGAGAGAGAGAGAGAGAGAGAGAGACATCCGATCGAGAGGGACGGCGGCGGGTCGCTTCGTCGGCGAATCAAGATGAGTTCGGCGGCCGCGGCCCCGGTCTGCTACTTCAACATGTCGGTGGAGTTCTTCTACAACATGAGCGGGAAGAACATCAGCGCGGTGTGGCACACCAAGGACAAGGTGGTGGTGGGGCTGGGCCTGACCGTGTGCGTGATCGTCATCCTGGCCAACATCCTGGTCATGACCGCCATCATCCGCAACCGCCGCTTCCACTTCCCCATCTACTACCTCCTGGGCAACCTGGCGGCCGCCGACCTCTTCGCCGGCATCGCCTACCTCTACCTCATGTTCCACACGGGGCCCTGGACCATCAAGCTGTCCTCCTACGAGTGGTTCGTCCGGCAGGGGCTGCTGGACACCAGCCTGACCGCCTCCGTGGTCAACCTGCTGGCCGTGGCGGTGGAGCGGCACCAGACCATCTTCACCATGCAGCTGCACAGCAAGATGACCAACCGGCGGGTGGTCTGCCTCATCCTGGGCATCTGGCTGGTGGCCATCATCATGGGGCTGATCCCCACCATGGGCTGGCACTGCCTGTGCAGCCTAGAGACCTGCTCCACCATGGCGCCGCTCTACAGCCGCAGCTACCTGGTGTTCTGGGGCGTGCTCAACCTCCTCACCTTCACCATCATGGTGGTGGTCTACACGCGCATCTTCGTCTACGTCCGGAGGAAGGCCTGCCGCATGTCGCAGCACACCTCCCAGGTGCGCCAGAAGGAGACCGTCATGAGCCTCATGAAGACCGTCTCCATGATCCTGGGTGAGTGCGGCGCTCTCTCTGGAGTCCAGTCCACTCCAGGTGTCTGACTCCCAGTTCACAGGCGTTCTGATCCACTCCAGGTGTTATAGAGTCTGACTCCCAGTGTAAGGTGGTCTGATCCACTCCAGGTGTTGTAGAGTCTGACTCCCAGTTCACAGGCGTTCTGATCCACTCCAGGTGTTGTAGAGTCTGACTCCCAGTGTAAGGTGGTCTGATCCACTCCAGGTGTTGTAGAGTCTGACTCCCAGTTCACAGGCGTTCTGATCCACTCCAGGTGTTATAGAGTCTGACTCCCAGTGCAAGGCGGTCTGATCCACTCCAGGTTTTATAGTGTTGGACTCCTGGTGCATAACAGTCAGATCCAATAGCAGTGGATGCGTGCGGTGCAGCAGCATGCAATTTTTTGCATGGGTAGACACCTGATGTATTTCTGCATCATCCCTATGAATATGGAGTGGATCAAACCGCAGTGCTGTAACTGCAAGGGTATACTTGCATAAGATCCAGATAAGATGAGACCAGGGCTGCAGAAAGAGGAGACCCTTCGGTTTTTGTAGCTGGTTTGTTTTTGCAAGGAGCTAATGAATCTGAGGACAGACGTGCTCACACACACTGCAGGGACACAGCTTGTGATTCAGTGTAGCAGGGTCACAGCTCCCATATTCTATTGTTAAATACAGATTCAACCACAGCACTGGCTTCCTGTGAACCCATCCTCTGTCAGGAATGTCCCAAAATATACCTCATGCTCTGCACACACACACAACTCTCTCACACACATTCATGCACACGCCTCACACGCACACGGACACTCCTCGCACACTCACTCATGCACACTCCTCACACACACGCTCACGTGCACTTGCACAGAAGTTCATACACACACATTCGCTCGCACACACAACTCTCTCACACATTCATGCACACACCTCACACACACTCTCACATGCACTTGCACACACGTTTATACACACGCACACAGCTCTCTCTCACACATTCATACACACGGACACTCCTCACGCACACACATTCATGCACACGCCTCACACATACTCACTCATGCACACTCCTCACACAGACTCTCACATGCGCTTGCACACACGTTCATACACACGCACTTGCTCACACACACCACTCTCTCACACACGTTCCTACACACACCTCACACACACACGGACACTCCTCACACACGCTCACTCATGCACACTCCTCACACACTCTCACATGCGCTTGCACACACGTTCATACACACGCACTTGCTCACACACACAACTCACACACATTCATGCACATGCCTCACACGCACACGGACACTCGCTCACACACACACACAACTCTCACACGCATTCATGCACACGGACACGCATCACACACACTCACGTGCGCTTGCACACACGTTCATACACACGCACTCGCTCACACACACATCGGTCTGTCTGAGCCAGTCTGTTCTCGTTCCTCCCCCTCCCCCCCGGCTCCGCGGGGAGGCCTGTTCAGACACATGCCCCTCCGAATTCTCTGGAACGATCCCCCCCGGCACAGACACGCACTGGAATGTGTGCAGCCTGTCCCGGGCCGGAAGCACACCGCCCCCTGCAGGCCGGGGTGTGTGGCTGACCCCGGGGGGAGGAGAGAGAAGTGCAGTAGCGCTGAGTACAGCACAGCCTGGGAACATTGGGGTATACATTCACTGTACCCCAGCAAACCACAGCCACCAGATAGCGGGCTGTTTTATTGCATCCCTTTTGGTGTGGTTGGACAGATTTTGGGGTACCTGTTAGGTGGCTCCTTTCTCGGGGAGGGCCAGGGAGGGAGAGAGGACCCCCCCCCCGGCAGTGTCGCTTCAGAACGGTCAGGGGCGGACCCACTGGCCCCCCCTTTCCATACGTGAATGCTGTGACTGTCCGAGCCCCATCCCGGGTTTCCCTGGGGCCTGGAAACCTGGCAGAGTCTGAGACGCTGGGGCAGGTGGGAGGAAAACAGAGGGCGCCGAGCACTTACACAGCTGCAGCAGCCTGTCAATATTTACACTGACTCTGACTCCTGGGGCGCAGCGGGGGAGGGGAGCACGCAGGGTTGGAAAACAGCTGGGATGTTACCGAGGCCCCTGGGTAACAAAGAAACCACACAAGAGGAATAACATGAATCAGGAGCTCAGTAATTCACACAGCACCCTGTGCAGAGAGCCTTGGAAGAAACAGGATACCTCCCTGT